GAGAAACTACTCTTCCATGTGTGTTCAAATGCTTAAATTGAGAGAGTGTGTGAGTAGACTTCTTGTCAAACATGACTTGAATATATCTCTGGGGTTTACATACATTTCATGATGAGAACAGGCTTTTTGGACCTTGAGTTTCCTAAATGCTGAGGACCAGATTAAACGAGAAAAGTTACCGCTATGCACACTATAAAGCATGGCTGTAGTGATGCAATTACTGCACTGATTGACAACAGGCTTGGCCGATTCTCTCACAGCCTGGAGCTGAATTCTGGACGATCTCAGCGCCCACAGCCCCCGAAATGTGGATGGTGGATGTAAATGAATGAAACGTTTTTCCTTCCTCGTATGGACGGCCTTTCCTTTGCATGGTGCTCTTCTGAAATTGGTGTGGGGGCCTCGAACAGGCTAGGTTTCAAGAGTGCAGAGAGGCACTGGGACAAGTGTGGGAGGTTTTTCCGGTTGTGCTGGATGGGCCTGTAACACAGGGCTGTTCAAGGGATGGGCGGCACTTTAATAAGAATGTAGCAAGTTTAGATTTTACTCGAGATTTGATTATATTTTTATTTTGCTAACTGGTTAGGAATTACCTGTTGGCATACATCATAGTTTTTATGGTGCCTCTAACTTGATCCAACATGGGTGGTGGCAAATTCACTCATACTGTTGCCTTCTGGCTGAGCATTTTAATCACATTTCTAAACCTCTGTGTCCGTGACCACAAGGACATTTGTTTTTCAGGTCTTAGAAGGTGCGCTGTCCTTAGAAGGGGAGACTTTGGTTTTTGTTTTTTGAGCCGCACGCTACTTCTGCTTGCTGTGCTTAATTCTTCTGTCTCCGCACGCGTCTGGTTATTTCTGCCTCGGTGTCTTGTCTGCTAAGTCCGCTTCTTCCAGGTCGGACAAGCTAAAAAACCCTGGAATTTCTGCCCGTGTTTCTCCGTGTAAGGAGGGTTAAGACTTTTTTTTTTTAGAAATTTAAAAATCGGTTGTATTGCCCACATTGTCTGCCCAGCGGCTGTGGCTGAAACTGAATAAAAAGTTGATTTTCTCTTAGATTATTTCTTCGTGTTGATTTTCACTGAGTATGGGCACTGTTGCACGTTTATTGTAACGAGTGGAACAAAATTAAGTCGAGGGGCACTCTTTCAGTGGTAAGGGACATGCAGAGTATCCTGTAAATTCTCACGTTGAACCAATTCAGTTCAGATACAATATATAGCTCTTTTATGTATTGCAGAAATATTCAGAGGAGCAGTGTTATTGAGTTACCTGTATGAAACTGGGCATCTCATTGATGTTCTTGCCTGAGTGAAGTAAAACCCAATATTATTATATTCCTGCAGTTTCTTTCAAACCGGTAACATTTACCATTAAAAAAAAAACGCGAGAACCCTGATTTTTATTATGTGTTTAATTGTTGCTGTTTGGTCAATGGCAATGGGGTAAATTAAATGGGCGTCTTTTCTCTGGAGTGACGGAAGAGGGCGCTGTTTAATTTGTCGTGAGCGCAGAGGGTGGAAGTTGTTTCCTCGGTTCCTCGCAGCGGAACCAGTTGCAGGAAGGAGTGTGATGTGTGTGAGTCCCGTCTTTTTTTTTTATAAAAGGGGTGGCATTTCTTTTACATAAATTGGAATATGGGCAAATAACCTGAAAGGTGCCGGGTTTGTCCGTTAGAAAGTTTAAAAGACTAATCTCGGAGATCGAGAAACGCTGCTGCATAGCTGTATTGCGCGACGTTTCACTCCACGTGTAAAATTGCTGGGATAATTGAACAACAGAAGTACGAGGGTGTCCTGGTCATTGATTGCATCAGGAGCAGTGTTCCAAAATACATTATGTGTTTAAACCCTACCTTTGCTAAACCTTACACGTACTCTAAAAGGGTCCACATGTATATCTGATTTATTAGTAGAGTCCCTTTTTAATTTTTACTTTTAATAAAACATTGCCAATTGCCAAAGACTGACCCATTTTATCGATAAAGAGCTCGGTGTCCTTGCTTTACAAATAGTATGCTCAGATTCTTTAAGAACATGCCTCCTTTTATATCTCGTATGGAGTAACCTGCTAACTAGGTTACACAAGGTGGTATTGTAATGAGGGTTTCAGTTGGTTACAAGCAGACTATCCTAGAGGGGATGAGTGAATTCACTGAGATCTGTTGAGGAGTGATGACAGGGTTCACCTGAGCCAGACCTTGTCCGTGTGGGTGTATGTGTAAACGGAGCTGAATTAAGATCCGCTGTGTAGTCATTTCAAACTCTATACAGAAATTTGAAGCAGATCTTTCATGCATAATGGTCCCCATCTTTTAATTGGTGTCATCACTCTGCTCCCCTCCTCACCGAGAGCTGGTGTGTGGTGAGAGTACTGGTTCACTATGGCTGCCGTCGCATCATCCAAGTGGATGCTGCACACTGGTGGTGGTGGAGAGGATCCCAGATACCTGTAAAGTGCTTTGAGTGGAGTGTCCAGAAAAGCTTTATATAAGTGTAAGAAATTAATAATAATTATTATACATGAATGATTTATTTTTCTAGGCATTCCAGGATTGAAAAGCACTAGAAATTCTTTTTTTGGGGGTTCTTTAAAATTTACCTCCAGAACATGAATCGCAGTTGGAGTATTGCCCTCTCGGCCCTTGATGAACCTCTTAATTCAGCTCTTCAGTTCAAACTTGTGACTTGAAGTGGGGTATCCAGAAAACGTGCTATATAAGTGTAAAGGATTAATTATGGTGGGGAGCTGCGTCAGCATGCGTAGGCTGCAAAGGAACAAGTAAAGGTTTATTCCCTGCTGAAAAGAAAAGAAAGGAAACGCAACGTTTCGGCTATGGAAAGTTCTTTTCTTCTCTTTTCAAGAATTTATTATTATTATTATTATTATTATTATTATTATTATTATTATTATTATACATGAGTAATTAATTTTTCTGGGCATTCCAGGATTGCTCAGTAATAACACTGCCAATTATTGAACAATTCATATTGCTTAAAATCGCGCATGTTTCAGAGGTGGCCTGCTGTTCTGTTTCAGTCTGAGCCCGGCGACGCGTGTCCTGAGAATGAGGTTGTGGCTGGGGAGGAGTGCACCCGTACTCTTTCCCTGACGGAGCAGTCTGAACAGAGCCACGGGGGTGATCTGTGAATCAATAACCCGTAGTCCCCCCTGGCAGTCCTATCATGCCTCCCTGCCACACCTCTCTGCGCGAGACAAGGACGGGGGGTCACGGAGAGGTCCCGGCGGAGGGGCCCGCGACGGCTATGGCGCCCCCTGTAGGCTGGGAGGTCAGTCTGAGCGCTCGGGAGTGGGGCAGCCGACCTCCAGGAAGAGCATGAGGTTCGGGGGCTCAGCCACAGCCGACCTGGGGTGCAGAACAGGAAGCCGGCTCTCCAGCGAGCTCCGGAACCTGAGCGAGGAGGACTTCCCCAGGAGGAAGCCGAAGGCTCGTGGGGAAAAAGCCCCGGCTGAGGCTGAACTCCAGGGCACTGAAATCGTGTTTGGCGCGGCCCCCTGCCTCCTGGCTCTCTCCCAGGGCAGGAGGAGGCTGTGCAGGCTCTTCGTGAAGCAGGGCCTTGCCCTGCAGAGGCCGGACCTGCAGCAGGCGTGCCGGCAGGCCCAGAGCAAGCAGGTGGAGGTCCAGCAGGTGAACCGGAAGGAGCTGGACAGGCTGGCCTCAGGCAGGGTCCACCAGGGCCTGTGTCTGGAGGCCAGTCCCCTGGGCTACCAGACAGACGATCCCGCCCCGGAGGGAGAGCCAGGCCGGGACTCGGCAGGGCCCCCTCTCTGGCTGGTTCTGGATGGGATCCAGGACCCGATGAACCTGGGAGCCATTCTGCGCTCTGCCTATTTCCTGGGGGTGGACAGGATCGCCAGCAGCCTGCGGAACAGGTACGTTCCAGACCTGTTTTCCAAAGGGGAGCTGCAGCCCCAGTTTCTCGGACCAGGGGGTAAATCTCGGTCACAAAATAAATGAATTAACGGTATCGCAAAATCTTACAAATTCAGAATTGAGCACAAAACCGGGAAGCAAAAAGTCGCCATGTTGCAAACCCCTTTGTCTCGCCAGGGAGAGAGTGAGAGTTCGTGCAAACTGCAACATGAAGCGGCCCTTCCTGCTCACTAGTCACTGTAATGGCTAACGTAATGTGTTGGACGAGTGAATAAATACAGGTTGTGTAGCAGATATTTCACCGCAGAAGTGTTTCACCGTCATCTGCGTGCGGAATGAACAAGTAGTGTTTGTCAGTAAAACCTCCTCGTAATATTTCTGTTGGATTAAAAGACGTGTTCACAAGCCTGCTTGTATGTCATGTCTAAGAGCCACTTCACCTTCCCGTACATATTGTTACCTTGTTCTGAGTCACAGAATATGATGCTGTGCAGACCTTGAAATCTGCTCTATTTTGTGAAGTAAATTGGAGGTTTTACAAGTTACTGTGTAAATTGTGCTTTCATTGTGGTTTGAAATGCACTCAAAAATGCCGATTCTTTCTGACCCTGAAATATAAAGATGGCCTTAAAGTCCGCCTTGAATATTGTCTGAACTGCATCAGGGGAAAAGTGGCACCTCTTCCCCTTTACCCACAGCCTGGGCAGCAGGTCCTCTTGCAGTGAGCTGCCCCTTCCTGTCGCTTGCTCAGATTGCATTTTGTTCTGAGCGAAGATCTGAGGTTTTGGGGTGAACAAGATTAAATGCACCCCCCCCTACGGTTCTTTTTTTATTTTTCAAAATGCGGGACGTGCATGCACAAATGACCACAGTACCACAGAGTGAAAGCGGTCAGTGTAGCAGGTTTTCCAGACAAGAACAAGTATCTAACCGCGTTCCGCGAGTGCGGAAAAGTACCTTAGCCGTGTTTCTTTCCCTGAGAGCAGTGCCTGCAGGTGAACACAACCTCGTGCAATCTTAAGGGGCTTCTCTTTTTTTACAAGAAGACACCTGTGCATTGCATCATTAATGTGTGGACTAGTCTGCAAACCTCACTGACCTCCATGTGCTCTTTCTACCCCTGCATTGTGCTTGCTTGTCTCCGCTGTGTGCGCACCTCAGCTGCCCCTTGACCCCGGTGGTGAGCAAGGCCAGCTCGGGAGCCATGGAGGTCCTTGAAGTCTACGGCTACGACAGCCTGGCGGATGTGCTGAAGGTGATTCTCCCTCCCCCTGCGGACACATGGTAGTGAGCTCCTGCCTTCACTGCACTGACAGGGCTGCTCTTTCTTAGGGCTGGAAAGGAGCGTTTACTGGGCTGATAACTTGCTTTAACAGCGGCATTTTGTTAATTACACAAGGTGCCTCATTGTGGAAGTGTTCCAGTATATGAAGTGCATTATCTTAGTGTAACTGGTGGAGGAATTCATGGTCTAAGCTAGATTGGCTGAAAGATTTCCTCTAGTTATTAACAGAAGACACCTGCATTACAGAGCAGTGAAGCCCCCTGAACATCAGCAGGGACCACAGAGAGGGCTGGTGTGCTTGACATCTGCTACTGCAGCAGGCATCACTTTGGAAAATCTTGATATTCTTTCCGCTGTGCTGTTTTTACCATCAGTGAGATGTCACCCCTGTGGTGATCTACGGTGGAGGTCTGAATTCTGGGGTTTATGTAGAGTGGATTGTTTCATCCTTGTTGTATGTAAACAGGCCTAACGTTATTTTTAAGCAAAATGAATGACGGTCACGCAGTACATCCCAGAAAAATTCACAGGTGCATGAAAGATCAGCTCATTTTGTGGTCTGGCTCTCCTGGGCTGTGCTGTCCTATGTGTCCACCAGGGGCCAGTAGCAACCTGTCATTACACTGCTTCTACTCCTCTGGGCTCTTTCAGCAGGGCTGTCGCTCACGAGTGCTTTACTGGTTTCCATTAAGTCTTGAAACACTACCATACTGGTACAGGACCTTTCCCTTATGGTAATTATCTCATCTGTGGTGTGCACAGTTCTATCTGCGTACTCTGCATGGTAATGTCTGATCATCTGCATGTTTTGTCTGTGTCCGATACAATTTTTGTTTTTCTCCGATTCAGGCAAAATTGAGCAGGGGCTGGCATGTTGTTGGCACAGTGGGCGCTGCCGAGGCAGATATGGGCATCCCTGTCCTGTCATGTTCTGAATTCCAGCAGACCAAGCCCACTTTGCTGGTTCTCGGTAAGACCGCATTTTCACACGCTGGCTTTGTCGCCTTTCTTCCGGGTTAGGGAACTTCCAACAGTTTCCACTGGAAACGCCTCTTTTTCATCCTTTAAAATTTAGCTTCAGGAAATAAAACGCAGTTGCAGTCTCGCCCTCTCTGCCTTTGATGATCCCGACATTCTTTTAATTCAGCTCTTCAGTTCAAACGTGTGACTTCTAGTGTAAAGAACTATTGTTATTATACATACCATTTTAGAATGGTACCCTGCAGCTTTAAATGAGAACAGCAAGGTGATCTCAAGTGTGGTTTTGTTGTTGTTTTTTTGTTGCATTAGTACCCCTGACTACAGCCAGACACCTTGTTTCACTCTGAGAGTCTCAGTCCTTTGCTCAGGGGCACAGCAGTGCCCTGTCTGGGATTAGAACCTGTAACCTCCCGGGTGTGAGCTCTGCTGTCCCATCTTCCTTTTTCATATTACCATTCAGTAAAGTCGTCTTTAATAAAATGTGGCAGGATCTTCTGTCTATGGCTACCTGGTTCTTCAATAAAATGCCTTAAAAATTAACACAAATACAGAAATGAAATGGAGGTGCTCACGCAAAGAGAAAGGGAGAATAATTGATATTCTGAAAGGGGGAAAGAGTATACTGTATTGCAGACAAGCATAGGTTTCTGCAAAAAATAGTCGTACTTCTTTCCGAAAGAATTGCTTTTTGCCATCAAATGTGACCTGTGTTCTTATATGACCAAGTGTGATTTGAGAGTCTGGTCTCTGGGTGTCTTCTTCTTTGCTGTCTGTTCTGGACACACAAGTGCCTCGAGAAGCTCAGCTCCTCCCCAGAGCCTGAAACAAGGAGCAGGGCAGCCTGTAGAGGGCAGCGCAGGTCAGGTGAGCATGCCGGCCTGCTCTGACCCCGGCACCTGTGTCTCCTCAGGCAGCGAGGGCGACGGACTGACCCCCGAGCTGAGGGCGCTGTGCCAGGCTCACCTCACCATCGCCCCACGCCGCGACCTGCACCCCGGCGTGGAGTCCCTCAACGTCTCCGTGGCCGCAGGTACCCCTCCACTCGTCTGTCGGGGGGCCGTCAGGGGCCAGAGACCATGCAGCTGCTGTTGCCCGTAACTGATCAGTTCTCCGAATCCCACCCAGTCATTTCTCCGAGGTTTACTAGAGCAGCTGCGGATTTTCTTGCTCCCCAGCAATTTGTACAGAGATCTCAGTCCGGAATTCATCCCCTCTGGGTATCTTCTGTTGGCTGCTGCCCGCGGTTTCGCTGTTAGCGCAGGAGTCTCTACAAGGGAGGAGTAAATGCATGCGTGTAGGGTTACGGTAATACGGTCAAGCACTTGCAGACACTCCTGGCTCAGCAGTGCCAAGGAGAGCAGCTCTGTTGCCTTTGCTCGCTCTTTTTTTACTGCAGTGATTCTCTCCCAAGGCGGGTGTGCCCTCCTGTCCGCCCGCAGTGTCTGGAGAAACGCCAGCTGGTTCAGTAGTGTCACACACAACTTCCGAAATACTGATGCTGTTTAGCTTTAACCTCATCCCGGCTCCCAGAGGTTGGCATCGCCTTGCCGCTATGGCCGATGTCGGAGGCACCAGTCAAAAAGTACCTGGCACTCCCCGGCTCCACAGCAGTGGTTCAACATGCGCAGGATTTTATGAGAAACGTGCTCTCCAGATTGGCTTGCAGGTGTGTTCCCCAGGTCTCCCCATGCTCTGCGCCATATCCTTAGTGTTTCCTGATTGTTTTTTTTTCCCTCTTTCATTACCTCATAGGTATTCTGTTGCACTCTCTGATCTCCAGCAGGAGGAAGGAACGGTGCTGACCGCTGTACTGTGTTTGCTTTGGATGCGATCCCAGCCCGCGCTACAGTGCTTAAAGACTGGATTACGGCATCAATTAGCAATCGGAGCATTCGGGGACCTGATTGATTGACTTTGCTAATGCTGTGCGGCGTGCTGGCAGGGCTGCAGGCTGCAGGCCGCGCTGTTTGAACAGCTGTGAAGGGGCCGGTCCCAGAATGCTGAGCGGCATTCCGTCACTCCCGGGACGAACCCAGAAAGCAGCTGGCCGCTCGGGCGCCGCTCGGCCGAGAACGTCACCTGTCCCTATTCTCCCTCTGCGGCTTCTCTCTCTTCTTCTCCTCCGATCTGGTGCAGGGCAGGTCGGGAAAGACCTGTGTCCTTTCGGGGCAAATGTTGCGTCTGTACACACTTGGATACAGCCTCCAATGCAGAGCATGGTGCGGGACTTTCTACCTGTTGAACTCTGCACGGAGGAGAAGTCGGCCGTTGTACAGCAAAATAAATGAGTCGTTCTGAAACGGCAGTGCCAACATGATTTTTTCCTCCATGTAACCGGATGCGTTTTGCTGACCGAAGTCGAGTTCGTTTGTCCTGCTCTTCGGGATGGCTTAAGCGTTGTATTCATGCCATTTGCCTCTTGCAGACGCAGGGGGTCGGTGTTGTTGGGTCTCCTCTCTCCGGCCATTTCCGGCGTCGGTTCTGAGCCTGCGGGCCGTGTCCTGCCGCCGCTTGCCCGAGAACGTCACCTGTCCCTGTTCTCCCTCTGCGGCTTCTCTCTCGTCTTCCGATCTGGTGCAGGAAGCAGGTGGCCTGCGCCGGTGCCAGTTGGGGGAGAGGGCCCACGCAGGCACTGAACCTCAATTAACGGATTGCTACCACGCAGGAGCAATAGACGAGAAAATAAAAGATTGAGGCGGTGGTTGGGGGGGGCAGTGGCGTAGCACGGTCTGTTTTAGCCAAACGCAGCCCCCCCACTCCACTCCACCTGGCTCCTCCTCAGCAACAGTAGCTGTCCGTAAACAGGACCATCCTCGGGGTCTTGTTACTTCCTCAGGTGCAATTAACGTCTCCCATCTGCTCACCGGTGATTAACGATGTTTACAAATATCGCTGCGTCTCCCGCCTCTCGCCACCGGACGCCCTGTCATCTGCGAGGGTGGGCCGGCGTCCTGGCGTCAATTAGCCAAACTTAATTTTTTTTACCCTCCTGAAAGTGCGCTTGTGTGTGTGTCGGACGGGATCCCGGCTCAGCTGCTGCGGAGTTGTTCGGGGGTCAGCGAGCCAGGCAGGCCTGCGTCTGGGATGGGGTTCCTGGCGATGGCGGGAGAGGTCCAGCAACAGTCCGGGGGATAATTTGTGTTAGGAAAAATCTACCATGTGGAGTGTATTGTCACACACACAGTGGATCTCTGAATGGCGCAGGAAGAGCTGTGTGCCTGGTGATTTCTCTCTCGGGTTGGGTCCACTTTTCAGTGCCGGTCGCATGATATCGGACCCAACCCGCCGGTTCTTTCTGCGTTTGGACCAGGATGCTACTAGAACGGCACCCTCAGTGCAGAGGAGAGCCCCTAGGAGCGCACCGCCACCGTTGTCGCCTGGGCCCTGCGGCCGCTCAGGGTAACGGAAGGCATGTCTCTCTGCGGCGCTTGCGCGGACACGGTGCCAGTCCAACCGTTGGACAACCGCCTTTCGTGAACCATTGTTTGTTTTTTTTATTGTAAAACATCACGCCCACCAACAGAGTACAACAATTGGGAAAAGAGACCCCATTCCCCCTCTCTCCCGCCCTCCGGCAGCGCGCGCTCAAAAGGTCAAGTCAGCACAAGGGAAAGAAAGCACGCCAAACCAGCTGTGGACGTCAGGGAAAGAAAATGGACGACGGCTGGAGATTTGGTATTTCCCGGGAGTGAACAGTCGGATCTCTATTCCCTTCCGGGCTGAGGAAAATTCCAGACACGCGGAATCCAAGAGGGAAAGGGCCCAGAGAAACCAGGGAAGAGTGGTAGGAGATTGCCGGCACAGTGGAGCCATCATCTTCCTGGCCGCTGCCGTACCGGGCATCATGGGAGCCCGGGATAGAAGAGTAAAGACGGATGAGCTCTAACGAAATGTCGGCTTCATAAAAGCTTCGTAAACCTACACTGTACTGCACCACTTAGGTAAATGAACCTGCGGCAGCCTAATGAAGAAATGTAGCTTGCTGAGCTTGGTTGTGTAGCTGGCTCTCTCTGGCGAATATTGTTAACGGATATCAATTAGGGGAAAGTACTGAATTTCACAACTGTATTACTAATTGGCAATTTGCTGCCTTGGAACAGCAGTATCCCGTTATTTATGTTTTGTGCGGTAATATCCTAAACAATCAGAAGTATTTATAAAACTTATAAAGAAAATTTATAAAGTCTGCTGCAGGGGTGATATTCCTTTATGCAGGGATGTTATTTCCCAAGCTGTGCTCTTTGTAAAGGATCTGTTTTAGGAGATACTCCCCTACAGTGGTTGTCGGTTTGCAGACATGGGTTTGGAAGCAAAGGTAAAGTACGGAAAAGACAATAAAGAAACCTGTCATGTGTAATAAGTCATAACTACGAAGATGCTTTAAAATGCTGGCTGTTACACTGGAGGGTTGTGCAGTAGCATCTTGCTTCATTTTTATCAGTGACCTACGTTGCTCACCAAGAAGGTAAATTTAGTGAAGTATGAAGTATTTAGAAACTGGTGCAAATGTTATTTTTAGATAATATTTTTAGATCATTTTTTGGACCCCAGCTCTCTAGGGATTTTATCCCTTTTTGCATCTTTTACACCCCAGAATCAAATGGGGATTTTGATATATTTAAGATCCTGAATCCTCACATATTTGTGAATTTTATATTTAGCATCTCCAGCTTTTTTTCTGGTATACCACCTGGTTTAGAATCAAAGATTGTTTTTACATCTGGACTCATAGCAACAGTCCACATGCGGAGAATGAAGAAGAGGCACTTTTGCCCAGTCAGACTTGGGAGGTTGCAATCCGAAAGGTTACAGACATGAGGAGTTCATGCAGCCCAGCTATCCTGTTCTGTAGATAGCAGTTCGTCGATCCAGGATCTTCTTGAACGAAGCCACACTTGCAAGTCCACCCTCTGTATAAAGAAGTGTCTCCTGTTCTAGAATCTGAGTGCTGTTTCCACTTGCGCCGTCTGGTTGGTGTTTCACTGTTGGTTCTAGAGGAAATAACCCGACCCCGATAAAAGCTCTTTCAGGCCGTGCTCGGTGTGTGCGCGGCAGAGCACCCACAATTCTGTTCACCCAGGCCGGGGCTGAGAGGGGAACAGCAACAACCCACTGCCGCCTCTACGTTCCCCTCGACTGGCAGGGAGTGGAGACTGAGAAGCCTAACGGAGAAATGACTGGTTCTAGTGCCGCCAGGGAAACAAAAACTATCATCGGGCAAAGCTGTGTTTCAGAGAGAGTGTCGCTTAGTTCTGGAGCTTATTAAGGCAGTAAAAAGGCGCTGTTGGAGATCCTGTGGGCCCGAGACGCAGCAGAACGAGGCGCGGGGCGGCGCGACAGCTCCAGATGCGAGTGGCGAGGTGGCCCTGCCTTTGAGGCGCCATCGTCGTGGGTAGTTGGCCGCTGTCGTCTGGGCCAGAACTGCTGCTGTCGTTCTCTGCCTCTAAAGGCCATTTCCTTTCCACGCATTTCAGCGACTTTCCTGTAGACCTCTCGCAGGGTACGGCCACAGCCGAAGAGCCACTTCCGAAGGGCGGTCTGCGGGAGGTGGCGCCCGGGAAAGCCACAAGCTCACTTTGTCTTTGGGGCGCTGTCCTGGAAGAGAGAATCTGTCTGTGCTAGGACAGTGGGAAAGCCTCACTTCGGGGCTGTCCCTAGAGGTTCATGAGCCACTGTGCATGTTGTACCAGCAAAGGGTTTTTTATGACTTAATTTATCAATTATTTTACCTGCCATTTGCTCATCTAATTGAGGTGCCAAAAATAGAACATGTATGGAACTCCAAAGCAGGAGCAGTAAATACAATTTAAAATGAATTGTAAAAAATTGTGGAGTAAAAAAACTACAATGGGAAAGCTTTAAGAAAATTAATCTCCAAAAAGGAATTCATTGGTCATGTACATCCCTCACACAAAAGGCTTCAACAAATATTTATATGACTACCTAAATTCTCATTTCTGTTAGTGTAAAGATCATGGCATGCTAACTGAAGCCTATGATTTCTTCTTACAAAATATCTGCAGCTATGTTTAAATTTTGGCAATAAGTACTGTACCGTTCGAAAAGAGACGCTCAAGGTTATATTTCTGGGGAAAAAAAAGTTTTATTTAGATCGTAATGACACAAACATCCCAAGAAAGAACTCGCAGGTTATTGATTGTGCTCTAATTATGCCTTACACTTATGTGGTTAAGAAAGGCTGTAGTGCTTTCAGACCAGAGAAGATCAAAGCTAGCCATCATCTGTGCAATTAGTGCAATGCGGCATTCAGAAAGGTACTGAATAAGAAGTCTTTATGTTTAATTTCAGCTGTTTGCTACATCCTTGAGAAGTGTCTTCAATAAAAGCTTGTTTATTTTGTTGAAGGTCACAGCTGGTTCTTTCATTTCTTCTGATTGCAACTTTAGAAAGCGAGGGGCTTGGAAGGAGAGGGAGCAGGTGAGTGTCCCTGGAAGTATCCCCCTCTCCTGGACTGGACTCGCTGGTGTGGTAGAGTTTCACTGGAAAGCGCCTCATCCGCAAGCACCTGGTTAACAAAACTTTTTCTCCTTCTTTTTTTCATATCGGTACGTATCCCTCCCGCCCTCTCTGTCCCCCGGCTCTCTCGCATGAGCACAGGAGTCGACGAACGCGACACAGACACACTGTTGGGACTGTGGGCTTTCAGGACATCTGCTTAGCTCCCTGGAAGCCCACCCAGCCCTGGCCAGTTGCGAACTGTTATTTAGGGGAATCTCAGTCATTTTGGGAGATCGGTGTCGCTCAGGTTCGGATCAAAAGTGACCAGACTGTATTGCCCCACCTGTGCTCTGCAGGTTTTTACTGGATGAGTCACTTGAGAGTTCTCCAAATCCATATCATTTATATGCATCACCCTGAGCAATACCAGCCCTGGACATATTTGCTGTCCTACCAGAGTGCATCCTTTCAGTCCATACGATTCATCGTTGTGGTGCAGGAGAGTGTTGGATATGCACTCAGTGGGTTAGTCTTGGGTTATCCCACATGTGCTGTAGCTCTTGCGCTTTGGTTTAGCTGTTTTTACCTGGGTTCAGAAGGTACAAATCCTTCTGTGCCTGGTCATTTAAGGTTGGAATCCTGGATTATATCCCGTTTTTTCTTCACAGCTCATTTAAGCGAACATCCTCAGCCATATGTGACTCGGAGGCTGGGCATTCTGTCTCCGAAGAGGCGCTGCTTGCAGAGAAGAGTCCGGAGCCACAGCTGACTCGGGTGGAGGAGATGGTGCTCATTTACAGGGGATTAATTAGAGAGGCAGTTCGCGCAGATGACGTTGCGG